ACACAGACAGAAAGACTTCAGTGATGCCTAACACTCTTTGACTCTGGGTGTTTGGGCTTTGTCCTCGCAAGGATTTCTCTCTCAAAGGCTTCGAGGTGGGTTGCTCTCAAAACGACAAAAGCCGTAAACTAACTCTGAGCAGCCACCAATTTATGGTGTAGGGGGTGGGCTATTTATAGCCACAAGGCAACCCGACCTGATTTGTCCGAAATGACCCTGAGTCACTAAGGAACTGACACGTGTTCCAACGGTCAGATTTCAAACACACACGGCAACTTTACTTGGGCTACAAGCAAAGCTGACTCATCCAGCTCTGGATAAGATTTGCTCTCATTGTCTTCGCTCGAAGACATAGGATTTGGGTTGAGCATCACTTCAGTCACTCTGACTTAGTTCATTTGGACCCCACTTAACAGTACGGTGGTTCCTATGACTCAACAAAGAAGAAAAGGAAACAACGAAACCACACAGTCTTCGCGCTCCATAGTCTTCACGCAATGTCTTCTCATGTCATAGTCTTCAATATGAATATCTTCTCATACCACCATTGTCTTCAATGTATTCATACATTTTTAGGGGTCATTTCCGGTAGGTAAACCGAATCAATGAGGGACACTACCTGCGTTATCCTGCAATTCTCACAAACGCATTAGTCCCTCAACCAACTTTGTCGTCAATACTCCAAAACCAACTAGGGGTAGCACTAGATTCACTTACGTGAATCATTGGTCATAATATGATATTCGTTTTGCTTCACGATATGTTACAAAACCTGAGGTGAGTTACATCTGTATCCCCGTTAGATCAACATAGGCTCACTATATTGTTCTTCCTCGTTACCGGTTTTGTTCTCTTCTCTCATTCTTGTGTTCCGGCATCTCCGTGATCAATTCATGCTGTGTCTGGCCAGACGATGATGGATGCCGTCACACCGAGAGGGGCCTAATAATATTCCTTCATCATCAGAGGAGTAAATCCCAGTCTCCAGCTATCTAGTTGCTCGTAATACGTTTTCGATGAGACCGTAAGTTGACGTTATGATCACCCTGTTATGGATGGCGTTGAGACAACCCCAAAGTTGACCATCCGGTATGGAGTGACTTGATACTCTCATGGTCTAATGAATCATATATATGTTAACACCTGTGTTATGGACTATAGACTTCAGACGATATATTATTTAAGTATAACATGCTAGTTGGGTTATTTCAACACGAGTGTTCTTCCAAAATCGTGTTGTCAATATTGCCGACATTATTATTACACTTAACTAAGCCCGTGATTAGGAAAAAGACACCATCTTGCAATACTTGTCACAGAGGCAAGACTAGAAATCTTATTTTACCGTTTATAACTCTACACATGCTCATGAGTTTCATCTGAATCGCATATTCGAGAACCGTAACAATTATAGCATAGAATATAAATATTAACTGTAGACCTGAAATTAAATGACACTTAAATATTATTATCTATAGGGAATATCTCCAACATAAAGTGTATTTATAGATTCATATTATGTAAAGTGCAATGCTAACAATGATGTTCTAAGTAAACCCAACAACAAATGAACGCAATGCAATGAGCGTGTGATTCATCTCCCCTTTGCCTACCACTTTGGTGGCCGGTGGCAGAGAGAAGGAATCCCGACGCCTTGGCTCCGACTAGTATTTTAGGTTAGATTTTTTAATCCTCGCGAAGGGTGGCGCTCAGACATTTGTTGATGCTTTTTCTTGGAGTTAGTCTTTCAACCTTCAATCCTTTTCATGTTTGTTCATCTAGATGGAGTTGACGAAGCTTTGAAAGATTTATGCCATCTCCTTGTTTGCAACAATGTTAGAATTTTTCGTCATGCCTGCCGGATGGCGAGATCTGGTGTCAGGCACTTTGAATCAATTTAGGAGTTTAATGGCAACAAGTGTGACTAAAGTGCGCTGGTCCTTAGATGCACGTGCACAAACACTTTCCCGCTATCGTCGACAAGGTCATGTCGGTTTCGCGAAGTGGCAACAACGACGCCTTTTTATTACGTTTATGATGCTTCGTACTTTTATGAGTATTTAACCAAAAACTATCATATTTCATGGAACCGTGCCCAGAAACCAACACATTACAAATTTGTGCCAAAAACTACCACTTTTTTACTAACCCGTGGCAAAAAACTACCACTTTCAGAAAATGACCAGTCTAGAAGATTTGAACACATTTATGACAATTGGGGCCCACCCGTCAGGACTGATGTGGCAAGAAAGTCAACACCATTTTATTTTGACTGTTAAGTTGACCGTTATGATAGGTGGGCCCCACACATCAGTATATATTTTCTTCTTCCTCCTCCTATATCTTTCTTGGCCATTTCAACGAACACCTCATCTTCGTGCCCCACGGCGAGCACTGGCGTCGTCCCTGTCGCCCACCTAGAGGCAACCCGCCACCGCGTGCCCATGCGCGCGCCGCCGCATGCTCGTGTGCCGCCGCCGCCACCGCTGCTTCTCGTGGCCGTACGTGGTAGTAGGGCCGCGGCTATGCGTTGGACCGGGGATGGCGGCAGGTCCTTCGGCCCCAGCTCCATGCCCAACGCTTCGTGCGCGAGCAGCTCACGCCCGCCCATCACTGGCAGCGCCAGCCGCCCTGCCCACACCTCCCCGTAGACGAGTTCACCGCGCACGACTACGAGAAGAACGCCGCGGCAGGCACGCCGGCGGCCCGCACCACCTGCCCCGCCCATGGTAGGTGCGAGACATACACCAGCACACGCACCGCGGCCATCTCCTCTGACAACAGGAGGTCGCGCAGCTCTCGGACCCCGCGACCTCCAGCAGGGAGAAGTACTTGGCGGGGTCCGGGCACGAGGCGAAGCCACCGGCGTCGAATCCGTCGGAGATGTGTCAAATGCAACGACGCCGGCGTGCGCACGGTGGACGCGAGGGCGGTGGTCACGCTCGACGAGTGGCTCGCCACGTCCGCCGTCGCCGATGAGATGGACCTCGCCTACTTCGAGCCCATGGGGTCCGAGGCAGGGTGGAACAAGCGCACAGGGTGGAACATGAGGTGTTTGTTAAAATGCCAGAGAGAGGGAGAAGGAGGAAGAAGAATGACGTGTGGGCCCCACCTATCATAGCGGTCAACTTAACGGACTGGAATAACGAAGTTGACTTTCCTGCCACATCAGCCCTGACGGGTGGGCCCCACTTGTCATAAACATGTTTAAATCTTCTAAACTGGTTATTTTCCGAAAGTGGTAGTTTTTTGCCACGGATTAATAAAAAAAGTGATAGTTTTTGGTATAAATTTATAAAGTGGTAGTTTCTGGATACGGTTTCATGGAATGTGGTAGTTTTTTGTTGGTAGAATATTGGTAGAATATAGAGCACGTAGACATCGTTGTTTGTTGTTGTTGGGCTCGAGACGTCGTGGGTGGCGAGCAGCCGAGCACATGTCTTGTATTGGCAAAGCCTAGCTTGAAGCTTAGTCAACGATATGGTGTTCCTCCCTTGAAGTCCATGCATTTAGAGGCGAATTTGAGGGTTTAACTGGTCGTGGTCGTGGATACACCATAGCAGGAGGTGGACAAGTTGATGGTCTCGCCTGGCGGATTTAGTCAGAGCAGAATAGAGTAGATATAGTTTACCGCACCTCGCTTTGATTATGAGATGGAAACGGAAAACGCCATCATGTGGATTCACTCGTACCACGTGGTGGAGTAATAAGCCTCTTATAGGAAGGACTATAATATAAAGAACCTGTGAGAAGCACGCGTGGATAACGGTGGACGTGTCACGTACGTTGTGAGCCGCAGATTCACACGCATAGATAAGCGTCGGACAGAGCAGTGCAGAAAAGGTAGCTCGCAGTTGGGAGACAGACAAGACTTTATAACTTTTTGGGAATAATAATACTGATAACTAAAACCCAGAAAAATGCCCCAAAAAGGGAGCTGAAGTCGGCATGTAGCAGAGGAGAGGAGAGGAGAGGAGAGGAGGGGTCGGAGTCGGAAGGAACACCCGGCATGCGCAGCCTGTATGCAATTGCAAAGCAAGCACATTCTGTGAGAAAGCAACGTGTAGCGCGACGCATGCAGCACCTAACGAGACGAGACCAACACCGGCGCGGGCGGAGCAGGGACGAGACGACGACCCGGGCGCACGTCACATGGCACATGGCAGGGCAACCACCGTGGCCCGAAACGGGAAAGGGTGCGAGGTGGAATGGCGCCGAAACCACGCCCGCGCTAACGCCGTAACGGCACCTTCTTCCCTCCCCCGCCTCCTCCGCCTAAATTCAGGAGCAAACTCTCTCTCTCTCTCTCTCTCTCTCTTCTCCCCCGCCATTCT